GTTTTCAACAGTAAAGACCGTGAGACACATCAATACAATTAGATTATGGATCAATATTCTAGTGACTTTTATATTTTATTGAGATTTTTAAAAGATGAGACATGATGAAAAGATTTTAAGACATGAATATCCAAAGATCTTTTGTAGAATGACGTAGATTTAAATTATATATATATATATATATATATATATTCTTATACCGGATTAAGTATATAACATAAAATTTATACAAATTGTCTCTTCTAAATAAATAATTTAATGTGTGTCATTCAACACAATTATCACTTTTTCTTATAATTTTATTAAAATGATATTTTACACCTTCCATCTAATTATAAATCTCACACCAAATTGGTGAAACATTTATGCATTATATTCATCAATATTATATATATATATATATAATATTTTGTCGGCTATTCATCAATGTATATATTTTACTATCAATACAAATTAATTTCTCAAATATATATATTTATTATAAATAAAACTATTCATAAATTGAAAGTTGAAACACAATAATATTTATGACACCGGTTCTTAAGTAGTAACATGGTTTATTCCTCTTTTGTTAAGAATTGAGTAAAAGACTAAAAGTTTCACTGTTGATAAAAAAAAAGTTACATTGTTGACAAAAAAAATACAAAACAAAAAAGACTAAGGTGGTGTTATAATGTTATTGGTTAGTGAAGTTAAAGTCAACTCCATTAGAGTTAAAGTCTTATCAGATTTCAAATGCAACCAGAGGTGGTGGGCTAGTGGTTCTAGCTTGGTGGAAGAGTCGCCCTGTTGGTCTAGGCCAGTGATCGATTCTCCCTAGACGCAGAATTGCTCAGCTTTATCCCTTTGTCAACATGGGTATGAGCCCATTGTTTACGACCCATTTGAAAACCTGGAGGGAACTCTACCAGTGGAATATCCTCTCTCCAGAGATTAGTCTTAGGCCCCTCCATAGGCTTAGGGATTTACTGTGAGTAACCAAAAAAAAAATCAGATTTCAAATGTTTCTTTCTTTTTTTTTTTTTTTTTAACCAGATTTCAAATGCTTCTAGTTAGTAATAATAATGCTTCAATCTCACTGATTCAGTCTCTTTTCCACTTAAAATGCTTCTAGTTAGTAATAATGCTGAAATACTTCTAGGTCCTTCTTTTAATTCGGGCCGCCAGAAAAAGCCCACTAAAATGAAATATTGGGTTTGGGTATGTCCAAGGATATTTATGTAATTTAACTTCAGAGGCGACCTACATATCTCGTGCGTGTCTTCACCTGCTGCACAATTTTCTCTCTCACCCGATAAACCAAACAGGTCTCTCACGGGTAATTTAGTGTTTTCAAGACTTTAGGGAATAAGATTAGAACGGTTCTTCCCAAACACAAAGAAGAAGTCTTTTGTTTCCGATATAGATCGAGGAACTTCGATTTTCGGACATTAACAGACACCGTGAAGGAGAGATTTGATTGATGGCTTGGAGGCGCATCATCACCAAGGTTTTTTTTTTTACATTTTTCTCCTTTTATGTAATATTAATACGAAAAAGGTTTCGAATTTGGTTAATACTGTAGTGGATTTGATCTAATTTGATATCATTTATAATGGGTTTTATCAAGATCTTTGTGATTCATAAGCTAAAGATGATATTTTTCAAACCCTAGACGCTCCAAACCTTCTCTGCCCTCAAAATGTTGTCTTTTAAGATTCTAGATTGTCTCTGGGATACTGTTAATTGATTGATTTGAATACCCAATTCACCTAATTTTGATATTGGCAAAAAAAAAAGTTTTAATTTTTTTGATTCAGAATGGGTAAAAGATTTCACCTTTATCAAAAGATTTTGGTTTTTATGTGTTTTCTAGTGTTATTTTGAGTTTGGGATTAGTAATTTTAACTCATTACCATTGATTTTCTTCATCGATGACAGGTTTCGAGTCATGAAAGGGAATTGAGCAGCTTAAGAAGCTTACTTGTTAGAGCTTACTCTTCCTTTCCTAGAGTGGGAGTTACTGGAGGTATATTTTTATCGTGTTATGAGTAGTTTTGTTGTTTCAGAAGTGTTTTTGATGTTAATGGGTTATTTTTGATCTATAGCTGTAGGTGGTGGTGGAGCTTCTTTACCGCGAACGAGGTTTCAATCGAGTTATGTTGGTAGCTTTGCTCGGAGAGTGCGTGATAGAGAAGAAGTTAATGAGGTTGCACATCTGAGAGAGCTTTATCGGAGAAATGACCCTGAGGCTGTTATCAGAATGTTTGAGAGCCAACCATCTTTGTATTCGAATGCCTCTGCGTTGTCTGAATACATTAAGGCATTGGTCAAAGTTGATAGGCTGGATCAAAGTGAGCTGGTACGAACATTGCAAAGAGGTGGGTAAGGAGGGAGAGACTTCTTGTCTGATTCTTAATGGATAGTGTCCTTAGTTTCATATTTGTATTTGCAGCTTGTGAGCCATTTCTCTATAAAATATTGGTAAACGTTTTGGTTTTCTTCTAGGTATTGCTGGTGTTGCAAGGGAGGAAGAGACTTTTGGAGGTCTGTCGGCATTTAAAAACGTAGGAAAACAAACAAAAGATGGTGTCCTTGGAACTGCTAGTGCACCGATCCATACGATATCAACTGAGAGGACTCACTTTAAAGAACAGCTATGGAGTACAATCCGAACTATTGCAGTTGGGTTTTTACTCATTTCTGGTATTGGAGCTCTTATTGAGGATAGAGGAATTGGCAAAGGTAGTTTGGTTTTATTATCTTCAGTGATACAATAGCATATTGGATGATTCTGTTCTAACTAATTTTTGCTTGTTAGGACTCGGTTTGCACGAAGAAGTGCAACCTAGTATGGATTCGAGTACCAAATTTACTGATGTAAAGGGTGTTGATGAAGCAAAAGCTGAGCTAGAGGAAATTGTGCATTATCTTCGCGACCCTAAGGTAAATTCACAGTGTTTGTGTGTTTTTCTAAATTTTGTTTAGTGGTGTAAAGTCGAAAGCATAAAGCATGTGAAGTTATCATATAGACCTTGATCCTCTGAATTCTGTGCCGGATTTTGTTTTTAGAGTTAGTACTGTTTTATTCTTTGGCCTCACTATGTCATCTTGAGTTTTCTTTCTTTTTATCTTCGTTGCAGAGGTTCACTCGTCTGGGCGGAAAGCTTCCTAAGGGTGTGTTGCTTGTTGGTCCTCCTGGGACAGGAAAAACTATGCTTGCTAGAGCTATTGCTGGAGAAGCTGGAGTACCTTTCTTCTCCTGCAGTGGTAGTGAATTTGAAGAGATGTTTGTTGGAGTTGGAGCCAGAAGAGTGAGAGATCTTTTTAGTGCTGCAAAGAAGTGCTCCCCTTGTATTATATTTATCGATGAAATAGATGCGATTGGAGGAAGTCGCAATCCCAAGGACCAGCAATACATGAAGATGACATTGAACCAAATGCTCGTTGAGTTGGATGGATTTAAACAGAATGAAGGAATTATTGTGGTTGCAGCAACAAATTTCCCAGAGTCATTGGATAAGGCCCTGGTTAGACCTGGGAGGTTTGATCGCCATATTGTTGTACCTAACCCAGACGTTGAAGGTCGACGCCAGATTTTGGAGTCTCACATGTCAAAGGTAACTTTTATTTATGCACTAGACAGCTCAGGGTTTGCGCTAATGGCATTAGCCTGTGTAGTGAATTTTTCAGTGACTTGTAATACAAAAATGGGATGAATATTGAACTGTTGGTTGGCTGTCTTTACTGCGTTTTCAGGTACTTAAGGCTGAAGATGTTGATTTAATGATCATCGCTAGAGGAACGCCTGGATTTTCTGGCGCTGATTTGGCGAATCTGGTCAATGTTGCTGCTTTAAAAGCTGCAATGGACGGTTCTAAAGACGTGACAATGTCTGATCTTGAGTTTGCCAAAGACAGAATCATGATGGGAAGTGAGAGAAAATCTGCAGTTATATCTGACGAGTCAAGAAAGCTGACTGCTTTCCATGAAGGTGGTCATGCCCTTGTTGCCATCCACACAGAAGGGGCTCTTCCAGTCCACAAAGCAACCATTGTGCCTCGTGGTATGGCTCTTGGCATGGTTTCTCAACTACCAGATAAAGATGAGACGAGCATTTCTAGGAAACAGATGCTTGCTCGGCTTGATGTTTGTATGGGAGGCCGGGTAGCCGAAGAGTTGATTTTTGGGGAAAGTGAGGTAACTTCGGGTGCATCTTCTGATCTTGAGCAGGCAACTAAACTCGCTAGAGCGATGGTCACGAAATTCGGTATGAGCAAAGAGGTAGGTCTTGTGGCACATAACTACGACGACAATGGGAAAAGCATGAGCACCGAGACAAGGCTTCTCATTGAGAGTGAAGTGAAACAACTTCTGGAAAAGGCTTATAACAATGCGAAAACCATCCTCACAGTTTACAACAAAGAGCTTCATGCCCTTGCAAATGCTTTGCTTCAACACGAAACTCTGTCTGGTAAGCAGATTAAAGAATTACTTACCGATCTTAACTCTCCACAGCTGCAAAAGCGTCAAGAAGTAGTTGCAAAGCAAAGCAACCCTGTTCCTCCATCAACCCCTAGCTCAGCATCATCAGCAGCCGCAGCAGCTGCCGCAGCCGCAGCCGCCGCTGCAGCAGCAGCTGCAACCGCCGCAACCAAAGGTAAAGACATGGCTCCAGTAGGGTCTTGAAAATAAAGGAGCTAGCCTTTGGTAGAAGAAGGCGTTTTCTTGTATTTGTGTATGTTGGGGTAATTGAAGTGGGAATAACTCTTTATTTTGAGAGTTTTTAGAATCAATGAGAGGCTGGTGAGAGTTAAGAGTATTAAGCTTAGGACAATGAGATTAACATCTCAGGTTTTTCGATATCTCTATCTCACAGACGGAATCTCGCTGCAAAATGGTATGTGTTCTCTTTTTCTCCTAATGTTTTCGGAATCTTGTGGGATGTTATTTAGAAGTTTGGCTCGTACAGTTTCAGCTTTACACTAAATTCTAAAGCCTGCTTGTAAGACTTGATGCAATAAGTTTAATAATCTCTAGTTATTGGTCTAGTCTAATCACTTTCTGCTCAAAGCAAGTCCTTAAAAACAGAGCACACAACTGATTACACTGTTCTATTATATAAACTATCTTATGAAGAATATCATAATAACAGCAACAATACTGACTAGCATTAGCCCTAGGACTTCTGGCTCTAGATCTTCATACGAAAAGTAATAGGCATGACCATGAGAGCAAGATCCAGCATCGGCTCCACATCCGTAGCAAAACTCATGTCCACATCTGTCATTTGTCAAGTAACTTGTGTTGATACATAAACTCGAAGTCAACGAAATCGAAAAGAGATGCGACTAGAGATGATACCTGCAAATTACGTGGACGCATCCTTCAGAAAGTTCAATCATTTGTTTGCACTTGCTGCATTGACGCCAACTTTTCTGATTTGCTAGCTGTGTAAGCTTGTTATCGTTTGTCGCACGATTTGAATGCAACTCTTTGTAACGTTTGCACGACAAGTTATTATGCCACGGAACTTTACACTTGATGCAAAAGGGTTCACCGCATTTGACACAACATCTCTTACTTCCAGTGAGTTGATACAGCTCGGTTAGTGACATTAAAGCTGAGCACGTCGGGTTTGGGCAGTAAACTCTATCCGTTACATGAATCGCGTCCTCTCTGATCCTTTGTTCCCACATCTCTTTTAGTTTAGGTGTCAAAATGTTGACACAACGTCCATAAGTCAGCTTAGATTTGCAGCGATATTGAGGACATGTCACCGAATATCCACCGGCTAGTCTCACCTCTATATGTCGTCTCACACATTCGGAACAAAACACATGACAACATATATCAACAGAAAACATCTGATCCGCATTGATGTCATCGTCGAAACAAATACTGCAAGTCATTTTCGGATGAAACAGCGCAGGCACATCTATCTTTCCCGGATGAAACAGAGTAGGCATAGCTATTTTGGTCTTAGAACAGATTGCTTCCATTCCAACTTTATAGGCAAATTCAACTTGATTTCGAGTCACCCGAACCGCGATGCTAGAAGTAAAACGTTTCCTGATACCTTGTACATCACGGATTAGCAAGGCAATGTTTTCTTGCTGAGGCACGGATCTCCCCATGACCTAAGGGTTTTAAAGCAAAACATCAATTATAAGATTGAAGTAAAAGACGTGTTGGCCAAGGAAAACTTACCCATTCGAAAATCTGATTGTTATCGCAACAGATTGAGATATGATTGATCCCCAAACTCACGGCTTCGCTTAATCCGCACTTTAATGCCATAAGCTCAGCTTCCAAAAGTGTGATTAGTGAATCATGAATTGGACCCTTCATCTGAAACATCAGACCATCCTTGTAGCCGCAAATTGCAACCCTAAATTCTGCCGATAACTCCGTCGTCTCCTCACTAACCAAACCCTTGAAGTAAAGGCTGTACGGCGAGGATTTTGACGGTGATGGATTTCCGGCATGTTTTAGGTTATCTGCTCGTCCTAGAGTGCCTTCCTCTTCCATATCTACTTGCAGATTCGTTATATGGAGTCACGTTTAATGATTCAATAATATATAGTAAACCCTTAGATTATAGAATTATTAATCATCAATAAATTGCTACACGTGTCAATAATTTTAAATTTTAAAATAAAAAAGAATATTAATAAAATGGAAAGAAATAAAAAAAGATTAATTTGTGTGTTTGTTTTTTCTAAAACATTTAACTTTGTTTCCCTAATCCAAAAAGAAATTTAAGAAAGAAAAAAACAACTAACATATAAAAATTACTAAAATATATTAACGAGATATCTTAGTAATAATGGAATCAATATGATATTATTATTAATAATAGTGATATTACTTGCATAATAATATGATAACAACAATTCCAATTATCACTAAAAATAAGAGAAAACACCAGCAGCAAATTTGAGGACACCGTGTCCGCGTTCGTAACGGGCGTCGACGTCGAGGATAGTGTTCAAGATAGTAGTGTTGAGGAATGTGGTGACCATGGTTGCACAATCCAGCATCGGCTCCACATTGATAACAAAAACTATGTCCACATCTGCCATTTATCAAGTAACTAGAGTTGATACGTACATAAATTCTGATAAACCAAGTTCGAAAGGAGATGTACTGATTAAAGACAATGTTACCTGCAAATTACACTGAGGCATCCAGAAGAACGTTCAATCATGTGTTTACACTTGCTGCATTGACGCCACGATTTCTCATTCGCTAGACCTTTTAGCTTTCCATCGTTTTCTGTAGGATTTGGATGTAACCTCTTGTACTGGTCGCACAACAAGTTATTATGCCACGGTACTTTGCACTTGGTGCAAAAGGGTTCGCCGCATTTTACACAGCATCTCCTAAATCCAATGATAAGTTCAGAGAGCTCGGTTTCCGACATTAAAGTCGAGCACCTCGGGTTTGGGCAATAAACTCTATTCGTTACCGGGATGGAGTCTTCTTTAGTCTTTTGTTCCCACATCTCTTTTAGTTTAGGTGTCAAAAGGTTGACACAACTTCCATAAGTCAGCAGAGATATGCAACGATAATCAGGACATCTTATCAAACTTCCCTCTAGTAGTCTCACCTCTATATGTCGTTTAACGCATTCAGAACAAAACATATGACCACATTTATCAACAGAAAACATCTGATCAGCATTGATGTCATCGTTCAAACAGATATTGCAAGTCTCTTTCTGAGAAGGAATATCTATGATGATATCAGAAGAGATTGCTTCTATTGCAAATTCGTAGGCAAAATTTGATTGGTCTCGAGTCAACAGAACAGGGATGCTAGATGTCAAAGATTTTCTGATGCCTTGCACATCAAGCATTAGCAAGGCAATGTTTTCTTGCTCTGGCGTGGATCTCCCCGTGACCTAAATAAAAAACAATTCAAGGAAAAACATCAATTATGAGATTGAAGCATAAACGTGTGAGCCAAGGAAAACTTACCAATTCGAAAATCTGATCATGATCGCAGCAAATTGAGATATGATTGATCCCCAAACTCACGGCTTGACTTAATCCGCTCTTCAACGCTATAAGCTCAGCCTCCAAAAGTGTAATTGCGGGGTCATGAATTGGCCCCTTCATGTCAAACAATAGATCTTCCTTGTCGCCGCAAATTGCAACGCCGAATGCTGCGAATAACATCGCTTTTTCCTCGGTTACCAAACCCTTGAAGTAAAGCCTGTACAAAGGTTTTCCGGCGGGTTCTACTTCTAGGTCATCTTTCTCCATATTTACTTGAAGCTTCTTTTTAAGGAGACGATTTATCACTCAATAATATATATAGAGCTATATATTTTTTTTGTAAAAGAAGGAAAAGTCAGTAGAAATAGAAATTGTAGGAAAATAAGGCTAGAAAAAAAATAGAAGAAAATCAGATTAGACTTTAGCGTGAGTTTTGTTTCCATATCTGCTAGGTCTTAGGTCAGTCACTGACGTATCACGATTATATGGTCTACCATCAAAGAGGACTGGAAATCTGCATGCGTGTTTAAAGGACTACACATACAATGGAAGAACAAAACCAACGAGTGACGAACCTAGAAATTATTTTGACTACGATCAAAATATTAAAAATAAAATAAAGTAAAAATGATTCATATTATGATAGTAAAATACATATGAACTGTGCGTATATAAGAAGGTTTTATCACACAGCTAGTGGTCAAATAAATAACCACTATAAATAATTAATTTACAATTAAACCGGAGATATAAGAAGGTTTTTTACTTTGGTTTTCTTTTTTAAATAAGCAACTATTTTTTGTTAATAAATTTAACATTTAATCATTTAAATAATGAATTTTTGGTACATTAGTAATGTAAGATTGTGCAAACCATGTAAAACTTAGCGTCTATGTTAACATTACTCCATCAGATAAGTTTTAAACCATACCCAAGCTAAAACTGTACCAGAGAAAAACCAAATCATACTTAACTGCGTGTTCACATGGTTCTAAAGGTGAAAATACCAAATATTCAAAACAAAAATCCTAGTTATAGCTCATCAAGTTAAATGAAAAGGGTAAAAAAATTAGATAAGTTACGTCTTAAGTTATACCTTGGAGACAGATTTGTAGCAGAAAGAACTAAAAACGTTTTACCATGACTAAAATTGAAGCAATGACTATATTTTGTGTTTTGAATCTTTCAAAATAAACATGAGGAGAATGTACGTAAGCATGATCCATATCGATGTTGTTTTTTTTCGTAATGAGGAACAAATACGGTATCAGGATTCATAATCCTATTTTAGTGCAACATTCATTTTTTTTTTTGGGGTCAATTTTACATATGTTTATGATTATGCATGTGGTGCTAATAAACGACCTTGTAACTTTTCATTGCTGTCTCCAAGGTTAGTTTTATATACCCAAACCACGATTTCTATTCTTCCAACAATTCAAAAGATCAAAAAGATCTTGACTTATGAACAAACTCTCAATTTAAACATTGATTTTTTTTTGTAGCCATACTAAATCTGGATCATTCCTATTTCCTAAATTTTAAACTCCTTTCCTTAAATTTTTGTTTCTAACTGGTCATAAGCCATTTTACCGTGAAACATTGAACTGTTATACAATATATATAACAAATTTGTGCCTCGACGGTCCCCACGTAACCTATGAGGATGATGGTTAGTTTAAAACACATGGATTTGATTTTCTTCCTTCTATTTTGTTTTGTGTTGTAAAACAAGTGGCTATATCGTTATATACTACATTACGTGTAGAGAGCTAAATTTTAAAAATGCTAATAGAGTTAACGATAACAATGAACTAAGTAGTGTTACGGAATACTTCATTGTTTACAATAAATATTACGTGTTTTTTTCGCTGAAGCTTTCCATCGTTGTTAGTGATAAGAATTTTTAAACCATACTTTACCCTAGACACGACAACATCAAATTTTCAATTGAAAAAGATTTATTTTGGAATAAACAGTCCAACTTTGAATAGGTTTTGACCCGTGATCCTATAAGCTTTCTAGGTCCAAAGACTAATTTTGAGATCCAGGAAAACTATGTTAGAATTAGAACTCCGTTGACTAATTCTACTCGAACCCAGGTGACTGAGACTTTTCTCTTTTCTACCACTAGACCAAGGCGACTTGGTTGACCCTTACTCTTATTAATAGTCATAGCAACAATAATAGCTACTCCTCGTTGAGTTTTGTAACTTTGTATTTAAGTTATCTTTAAATTGAAAGATTGTGATTTGAGAGTTTTGGAGAGAAGTCGAGTGTGGATCACAGTCGCGGGTAATTTCTCTCCCAATTCTTCTTCTACTTCTGAGCACAGTCTCTTACGCCATTGATGGGTCTCTGTTGATTCCGGCGACGATGAAACCCCGTGGCTCATGGTTCTTCAATCGTGATCCGCTACAACTTCTCGGTGAAGCTATCCATACAAAATCAAGAGAGCAGTAGAGAGGAGAAGATTTTGCGAGACAATGCCGTTATGAGCTCTATCGGTGGAGTAGCGATGCAGAGTGGAAGAGAGTCTTCACGGCGAGGAACGAGGGAAGACGACAGTTAGATCTAGGGATTGGAGATTCTGGAAGTTTCATGGGGTCGCCGCGTGATGGGGGAGGTCGACTCCGGCCCGATGAAGCTAAGCCACCGTCGATGGTCCTCAGATCTACTCCCTACTGCCTTCAACTCTCACGACTGAGCATGGAGATTCACGACAAAGGATGGTCGGACCTCTTCTTCCTCCTCAAAACTGCTCTACGATGGCAGGATGGCAACAGATCCTGGATCACCATCTCCGTTCGGCACGCGTCGTCCATGTTCACCGGAGATTTTTTGTTCTGGCGAGTTTATGCAGTTCTTGGACGGCGGCTCTGTCGTGTTCTACGATTAGAGATTAGGGTTTTTCTTTGGCTCCGATTTAGATCGGTTAAGTAAAACCTAGTCGGTTTTGTAATAGATGGTTTAGTTAGGTTAGATGTTAGTGGATTGGGCCTTAATAAGAAAATGTGTGGCCTAAATCCGGAAATAGTTCAATGGACCTTTTATTTATAAAATTTGCATACCCTTTAATAAAGGGAAAAAAAAAAAAAACAATACTAGCTACTCGAAACTATCTATGCTGCATTACAGGATTAGGTGGAGGGACAAACATTCTAAGGATCAATACTTTTTTTTTTTTTTTTGATAACCCAGGTTTCCTGTCACTAGCCGACAGAGCAGGGTTCCACGTGTTAGCTATCGGCGGCGAGCCGACAGAGCAGGGTTCCACGTGTTAGCTATCGGTTCGCACAGACTAGCCACGTGGGCGGCCAAACGGCTCTCCACGTGTTGGCTCCTGGAGGCCTGCGGAGCGCCAATGTGAATACGCAGTGGCCAGGAATCGAACCCTGGTGGCGGTACTCACAGCTGTGAGCCCTTTACCACCAGACCACGACCGCCTGGTTAGGATCAATACTTTGTTACCATTTTACCAATATTCCTGTCACCAGTTATAAACAGTGTTCTAAAAAGCGGTCTAGGCGGTCGCTTAGGCCCCGACTAGGCGCTAGGCTCTCATGCGACGCCTATATAACTGCCTTGACCGCCTAAAATTACATAGATCTTGTTTAATGTATTTTTTCAATTTCAATTAGAGTTTTATTTATATATATAGTTATCAATATTTATATATTGTTTAATATAAATATAAATAAATGTTTTATCTAGTTTTTGTTTATAATTTCATAATTTTTAGTTTTATATAGATATTTTATATAATTTCTATATATAATATTATATTTATAATATTTTATGTTATAAACGTTTAAACCGCCTAAAAAATATCTTAGGCCCCGATTAGGCGTTCTAGGCGCTAGGCACTGGATCACCGCCCGATTAGCGCCTAGCGCTTTCTTGAACACTGGTTATAAATAATCTCAGCCTCGATCACATGGTTAACCATTAACCAATTGAGTACTAATTAAGAGTATTTAATAATATATTTTTGAGGAAAAATTCGACCGAATCCAAACCAAAAACCATACTAAATTAATTTACTGTAACGAACTCGAATGGTAAATAATTTTTTGATAATAACACCACGACTTTCCCTTAATCTCTAATCGATGTGGGTTAAGTTCCCCAATGACTTGATATCCAAATTTTAATTTAACATGGAGATATCTTGCGTTGAAGATGTATATGTTTGATGGAACCCGGACCAAATAATCCACCGTTATCAGCCCAAAGATCAATCAATTTGATCAATCATGTGTGGCTTGTCCATTGCCTATCCTAGATTAATATTCTGGTGCTTATATTCATCACATACGCCGCCAGTAGACCGGAAGTACCGAAGAAAAAGCAAGAAGGGTTTAAACCAAGATTGTAACTTGGGACAGAAGAAAGACAATATTTATCCAAAAACCCCTAAATGGCAAAGGAAGATGAGTGATAAAAGAAACCACCGGTAGAGCTAGAGCTTCTCCGGACTATTAAATGTTATAGGAGGCTGATGAGCAATTTTCAATCCTAGTAAAAAATCAAATTGATCTTGGCTTGTTGCTGGAAGGAGATGATCACTCGAGATTGCAAGTAGAATATATCATGACAAATCAATTGAAGTGGCTATGTCGTTTTTGCTATAACCGTCTTACGAGAACCGTCTTATGAGGAATATTATAGTAACAACAACAATAGCAATTATCACCAAAAAGAAAACAGAACAGCAGCAAAAAGCACAGCATGGTGTCAAAAGCAGATCATCTGTAAGAGGTAAGCCATGACCATGAGAGCAATCTCCAGCATCGGCTCCACATCGGTAGCAAAACTCATGTCCACATCTGCCATTTATCAAGTAACTTGTGTTGGATACATAAACTCGAAGTCAAGAAAATCCAAAAGTAGATGATGATACCTGCAAATTACACTGACGCATCCAGAAGAAAGTTCAATCATGTGTTTACACTTGCTGCATTGACGCCACAATTTCTCATTCGCTAGATCTTTTAGCTTTCCATCGTTTTCTGTAGCATTTGGATGCAATCTCTTGTACTCCTCGCACGAAAAGTTATTATGCCACGGTACTTTGCAGTTGATGCAAAAGGGTTCGCCACATTTTACACAGCATATCCTAACTCCAATAATAAGTCCAGAGAGCTCGGTTTCCGACATTAAAGTCGAGCACCTCGGGTTTGGGCAATAAACTCTATTCGTTACAGGAATCAAGTCCTCTTTAGTCTTTTTCTCCCACATCTCTTTTAGTTTAGGAGTCAAAATGTTGACACAAAATTCAGAACTCAGCAGAGAACTGCAAAGATAATGAGGACAGCTGATCAAACTTCCCTCTAGTAGTTTCACCTCTATATGTCGTTTAACGCATTCAGAACAAAACATATGACCACATTTATCAACCGAAAACATCTGATCAGCATTGATGTCATCGTTCAAACATATATTGCAAGTCTCTTTCTGAGGAGGAATATCTATGATGATATCAGAAGAGATTGCTTCAATTGCAAGTTCGTAGGCAAAATTAGATTGACTTAGAGTCAACATAACAGGGATGCTAGACGTCAAATTGTTTCTGATGCCTTGCACATCACGCATTAGCAAGGCAATGTTTTCTTTGTCAGGAGTGAATCTCCCCATGACCTAAAACAATTCAAGGAAAAACATCAATTATGAGATTGAAGCATAAACGTGTGAGCCAAGGAAAACTTACCAATTCGAAAATCTGATTATGATCGCAGCAAATTGAGATATGATTGATCCCCAAACCCACGGCTTGACTTAATCCACACTTCAATGCTATAAGCTCAGCCTCCAAAAGTGTAATTGCGGGGTCATGAATTGGCCCCTTCATGTCAAACAATAGATCTTCCTTGTCGCCGCAAATTGCAACGCCGAATGCTGCGAATAACATCGCTTTTTCCTCGGTTACCAAACCCTTGAAGTAAAGCCTGTACAAAGGTTTTCCGGCGGGTTTTAGGTCATCTTTCTCCATATTTACTTGAAGCTTCTTTCTAAGGAGACGCTTTATCACTACTCAATAACATATATAAGTTTTTAAAAAGGAAAAGTAAATAGAAATCGTAGGAAAATAAGGAAAGAAAGAAAATAGAAGAAAATCAGATTAGACTTTTGTTTCCGTATTTGCTAGGTCTTAGGTCAGTCACTGACGTATCACGATGCATCCTTACAAGGCCTACGATCAAAGAGGATTGGAAATCTGCATGCGTGGTTAAAGGACTACACATACAATGGAAGAACAAAACCAACGAGTGACGAACCTAGAAATTATTTTGACTATGATCAAAATATTTAAAATAAAATAAAAATAATTCATATTATGGTAGTAAAATACAAATTAAGAGATTGCAACAATCCTAATTATAACTTAGAAGGGAAAATGGTATTTCAACCCGAACAAATAGTACGATGCGTTTTTATACCTCAACAACGATATCTTGTATATTTCAATCCCAACGCTGAAACAATTATTAAATTCGAGTGTAAAACTACATTGAGTTTAACAGAATTAGTCTATTATTTGTTTTCACTGACTCAGATGACAAGATGGTGACGAGGTGTTATTTTGTTAACCAAACGACATCGTTTTGGTCATTTGAGTCCTTTAACTCAACAAGGTGACGATGAAGTATATTGTCATTTTATCTTTACCAAAGTTATTTTGTATATATCAATTGACGTCCTTTTGTTGAGTCTATGAGATCAAAACGCATCGTTTTATTGAGTTTATGTTATATTGTTACTTTAAGCTCTAATATTATATTCGATCTAGTCTTACTATATATATATATATATATATATAGAATAAGTCGATTCAAAAAAAAATATGGTGTAAAATAAATTCAGGTCAAATAAGTAAGATAATCAATTCAGAAAATATGGGAAAAAAACTAGAAATAGAAAAAAAAAACTAAACGATAAAAAGTAACCTCAATTCAGTTAGGAGGAATAGGAAAATCAATTCATCACTATTTTGGAAAAAAAAACTAAATGTGCAATATATCAAAAAGTAATCAGACCTAAAATCATAGGAGAATAAAGAAATGTGTCCAAATCTTATCATCAATTGGTGCAATCTCATTATTTAGAATTTTGATATGATAAGATCATAAGATGCATAAAACTTTATATAATAAAAGAAGAAATACGTTTATTTAATACTTAAGATTAAAACTGTAATATAATAGCGTGTGACATTTAACTAACACTAGATTATGTACCCGCGCGTTGCGCGGGATTTTAGTTTTAATTTTTTTATCAATGCGAATCTTTGAATATAAATCTAATTAATTAAATTTTATTTTTTTTACTTTATTTTTTTTTTCAATTTTACTTTATTCATGTGCATTATCTTTCCAAAGTAGTAAAAACATTATCTCACTTTTCACTACAATTTTTTCCGTTATCTTCTATGATATACTCATCGTCTCCCGACATCGACTCTTTTCACCTTATATTGACTCACATAGAATATACTCAATTGTGAATTAGTTATCAAGATAGATTTTATATCTTTTCTCCTTACTATCTTTAAATACTCAATCATTTTAAACGTTGCATGATATTTTTACTAAAGTAACCATCAGAAAATCTGAGAAAATATTTTATCATAAGGTTTCTTTAGCCATGTTTCGGTGCATGTAAAATTGTTTTATAAAAAACATATTACATATATAAACTCATTCTTATATATTCACAAACATCGGATTTTAATATCAATTTTTTTTACTTTATCTTTACTGTTTGAAAAATACAAAATTCTCTTTTCTAAAATATGTAAATTAAGAAATCATAAAAAATATTCTAGTTTTTAAATACGTTTATTTTTTATAACAAAATCATTGTTTTCTAATTTCTAAATAGCATTCTCAAATATTATTATTAGAAAGTTTTATTATTCGAGTAGATTATTTTATTTTTATTTGTGATGTTTAGGATAGTTTTTTGTTTTGTTTCAAATCAGCTTCATTTTTTTCAATCTATGTTAATTTTATAAACACTAATTAATAATTAGTTTTTCTTTCTTAGGTATTCATTTTTTCATATAAAAAATGTTCACTTTTTAATTGAGAAAACATTAATAATATATACAAATTTATTAATTTAATTATTTATATTATATTATAATTATAAATGATAATATATATTCATTCCTTCTTATTTTTTAATTGGTATCATGAATTAATACTTAAAACTTAACAAATATATTCTCAAATTCTAAATGTGTATTTTTAAAAAATGAAGTACTTTTTTTAGTTAGGACCTTTAAATTTGGTATTTTTCAACTCTTATTTTTTTAGTTCAACTAAATAATTATAACTCTTAAAAGTGATTGTTTTATAGTCCTGGACGTTTGTTATCCAATCGGTTTCGGTTCGGTTTCATTCGGTTCTAGAGTTTAGTATCTATTCGGGTATTTTAAAATTTTGTTCGGTTCCGGTTCTTTCAGTTTTATAATTTACTATCCATTCGGGTATTTTGCTTCGGATATTTTTGGATATTTCAGTTAATTTTGAATATTTTGGATACTTTTCGGTTATTTTCTAGTATTTTTATATAGTTTTGAGGTATTTTTGATTATTCAGTCTATAAAAAACTAATATTTTTAGATATATAATTATATTTCGGGTATCCGAAATATTTCGGATTGATACCGATTCGGTTCCCGTTCTTACGGTTATAGAATTTAGTATCCATTCGGATATTTTCAAATTTTCGGTTCGGTTTGGTTCTTTATGCTCCGTTTCCGGTTCATTACCTTCGGTTCGGTTAATTTGCCCAGACCTTGTTAAATTAAAATATATCATAAGTTTCTTTTTCCTAACTCTAACCATTTAAAAATATTTATTCATTATATGTTAAGATATGATTATCTAACTTTATATTTCTCTAATCTCAATTCAAAAGTTTTATATTTTGTGTTGTATATTTATTTTTTAAGTTTTTTTCATATTTAATTTATTTTTTACAATTATTGATTTTTAATGAAAAGTAATAATTTAAAATGTGTGAATTAATTTAGTTTTTGTTTTAATAAATAACATATGTGGAGCCTACAAAAATAATAAAATGTGATGACATAGATGCTGATGTGGACACCTTAGATGGATAGACAACTCTCCTATTATATATATAGATTGTTAAATTAAAATATATCATAAGTTTCTTTTTCCTAACTCTAACCATTTAAAAATATTTATTCATTATATGTTAAGATATGATTATCTAACTTTATATTTCTCTAATCTCAATTCAAAAGTTTTATATTTTGTGTTGTATATTTATTTTTTAAGTTTTTTTCATATTTAATTTATATTTTACAATTATTGATTTTTAATGAAAAGTAATAATTTAAAATGTGTGAATTAATTTAGTTTTTGTTTTAATAAATAACATATGTGGAGCCTACAAAAATAATAAAATGTGATGACATGGATGCTGATGTGGACACCTTAGATGGAGAGACAACTCTCATATTATATATATAGATTTATAATGAAAACGTTGATTAGAGCATTAACTATTTTGTAACATAAGTAAAACGATGGAGTATATAAAAACGACACCACTGAACCCAATAGAAAAAGAATATACAGAAATTTAAATATATTAAAAAAAAAAAAAAACAGGATGAAAACAATCGTTTGTTTCTTCACTCTTCTAATATTTGTAAGTTTATTCTAGTTAATTAGGAATCATGTTTTATACTCCTTTTTGTTTCTAAATGATGTATTTTTTAGAGTTTTCACACATATTAAGAAAACATATTAAAATTGATTAAAAATATATTATTTTAAATGTATTATTATAAATGTGATTTACAATTTTCTATAACCCTTAAACAATAGTATTCAGTTATATTTTATGAAATTTACAATTCATCAATAATAACTAATAAATATTCCCTAAAAAACCTAAAAATTCTATATTTTCGAAACAATTTTTTTCCTAAAAATAGATTAATAAGAAACAAGGAAGTATAGTTTAGTAATATTTTCTGAAATTCTTTTAATATTTCTGCAGGTATATCGAATATCATGGCAAAACCTAATTTAGAAAGAAATGCAGAAAGTCCTTACGCTCACGTCGAAGAAAGTCCTTACACTGACCTCGAAGCTGAGTTTTGTCTTGGTAGCTGTAGATATCATTGTATGAAAATGAGGAAACTCGTTCATAGTTGTAAAAATTCAATGTCACTGTAACCCAAATGATGGTATGTAATAACAATTAATTATTAAAACTAAATAAGTTTATAAAGTATATTAATCCAAATGCATGAATATATGCACCAAGGAAGTTGAAACTTTATGGGAAAATATTGAGTCTAATGTAACTGTGTTTGATTTTTGTTCCAAATTGCACATTAAAATTACGTCCTAAATTATAGAATTCTCTTTGTATTAGATCTATTGGGCTTCTTATACACAAATTTAATTGTTTTACTATATTATGTGTCTGATTAGTTGGGTTTTAACTGTAAAAATTTTGCTGCAGGATTTTTTTTGTAGTTGGGTTGGATGTAGCTGTAACTTTTGTTGTTGTAGAATTATTGCTGTAAGTGAACTGGTTGTAGCGGTACGTTTTTGATTTTAGATATTTAAAAAAAATAATAATTGGTAAATAATATATTTGTAATTTGTAGAAAAAATAATTATTTTATAGGAAAAAATGGACAAGAGTGAACAAATTGCAAGAAAAGGAAAGAAAAAGTGGAGACTTTACTCGTTCTTGAAAGACGAGATGATTGTTTTTTTCAAAGATTTTTGATGAACTATGGAACACAGATTTTAAATTTGTTTGGTAGCAACGTAATGAGTTTTGGAAGCTCACGTATAATGTATATTTATAACGTTTTTTTTTTAGGCTTGATAATTACCACTTTTCTAGAACATATCTTGATTTTTTTGTTATTTATTTATATTAAAAATTTCTAACTTTTGTATTTATCTAATGAATTAAAATTTCTACAGCTAAAAAAAATAGGGCTGGAAGAATTTACTCTACTACAGCTTAAAAAAAAAAAAA